AGTGCATGTGATGCCAGACTATTCAACTAACACAAGGTAAGTCCATGAAGTCAACTGGCTGATTACATACTTTATGCTAATATGATCACATCCAGTTATACGGCTCAAATGTGAATCTTTATCTTTGAGTTAATAAAAGTTTTCTGTGTTTCCGTTCTCTTTAGAGCTCTCTCTCTCTCCAAGACTCACCATGACCTAAAGATCAGATCAACACACCACGATGTGACTCCAGATCATGGAAGAGGGGAAGCTTGTTACAGTGACACAAAAGGTGAGACAAAGAGATCTAATTCTTCTGTACTTTTTTATTTTATGTTTGCTGTGCCCTTTAGCAAAGAGCATCATCCATGGTCAGTTTAGAATCGGCAGTTAACCTTCCATGTATGTGTTTGGACGGCAGGCAGGAGAAAGTCGGAGCATCCATAGAGAACCGACACAGTCACAGAGACAACATGAAGTCCACACAGAGGGAAGCAGCAGGTTGGTACCAGTAGAAACACAGCGTGCCTTGTGATGGAGTGTTTTTACGGACTGCTGCTGGATGTGAATCTCACACATGTTTCTGTGATTCTTTCCTTCCAACACAGTGACTTCAGGATCCAAGGAGACGAAGAAACCGTTTGAGGAGCCCGACGGATGATGGACGACAGAAGAAAGCAGCCAGAAAGAGGAAGAAGATGAAGAGCAGCTCCAGGTGTCACCAAAGGTAAACTCCCCACAAGTCACTGCATCTACAGATAAAGTCATGAAGAAAACATGGTGTCGTGTTGCAGCGACGGCTCCAGATGATGTGTGTCGTACAGCACAGGTCTAGTTTCAGGCAACCTCTATGATACTTTAGTTTTTACTCCAAGTGAAAAGACGACTTTAAACAGTAACATGCACCATTTCTGAGCGTGTTTGTGCCGTGAACCTTTGTAATGTTTGCAAGTTCTGTTAGTTGTTTATCACCCACCTGCCTCTTGAGCACCTCTCCTCTTTCTCTCTCCGGACAATTAGATGCCACCGTTGTCACTAACTTTGTGTCTAATCCTCTGTGCAGGTATCTCTGGATCTGGAGCTCCATGTCTCTGACCTGCTGGTACCGGCCTCAGCGACCTCCAAAGTCTTCATGTTCTCTCCCTCCTTCTTTACCCTCACCCCAGCCAGAGGTTTTTTTTTAACTTCCTGGCGACGGGAGGTTTTTTTCCTCCACAAATGCTTGATCTGATCAAAGAGCATAAAGAGAGCCTCAAATAAATAACAAAACAACATATTAGAACTGTATGTGTTTGTTGAGAAGTTTAACATGATGTACTCTTCCTTTGATATTGGTATTTTGTGTGCATATTTTATGGTTAAAAGAGAAAAGAGAAGACAAGCTGTTTGCGCAGACATTTAAGTATTATATGTAGAAAAATAAACCAAAATATGCAAGTTTCTAGAAGGAACCTCACTGCGAATATCAGTGGTATTGCACAGATTCTTTCATGAATAGAAATACTGAGACAAGTGTTGGTATTGCACAGACTTTTTTCTATCCTGCACA